TGGAATGGAAGAACAGAAAAAGAGGAGAGAATTGCTTGATGGAGAAAACAGAGAAAGCATTGAGTATGTGAAGCAGGTTCAAAGGGACTATCAAGAAATTAAGAAGTCTATCCAAGACTGGCATAACAGCTTGAAAGAAACTAAGGACAGACTATCTGAACTGGAGGGCAGACTTGTAATATGGGAGAATGAAATGAAAAACTTCTTAAAAATAACAAAGAAACAAACAGCAATAATACAAAGACAAGAAGATGACAAGAGGAGCCATAACTTAAGGATTAAGAACATAAAAGAAGAAGTAGGGACACAAACAAGTGAACTACAAAAGCTACTCACAGAAATAATCCAGGAGAATTTTCCTAATTTAGCAAAAGGTAAAGATACTCAGATGTATGAGGCATACAGGACCCCAGCTACCTACAACCCTAACAGAGAAACACCCAGGCATATAATAATAAAAATTCCAGAAATTCAATACAAGAACAGAATATTAAAAGCTGTAAGAGACAAGAAACAGACCACTTACAAGGGAACACCCATCAGAATTACAGCAGATTTCTCTGCACAAACCATCAAATCACGAAGAGCGTGGGGGGAAATAATTCAAGCTTTGAAAGATAATAACCTCCAGCCAAGATTGAGATATCCTGCACAACTGTCCCTGGAAATTGATGGAAAAACGAGGTGCTTCCAGGATAAAGAGGAACTGGGGGAATTTGCAACCACCAATTCAACCCTACAGAAAGTATTGCAGGATATTCTAAAAAAAGAAAAATACAAAGAATCCAGAAATAGTGGCGGGGAGGCCACAACGAATCGAGCAGAGAACTAAATGAAGAAGACGAACTGACAGCTACTGACAGAAAAAGAGCTCAACAGAAATGAGACAGAGAAGATTGGATGATAGGAACAGCTATTTTGGAGAAAATGACATCTTAATAGGTAATACTGATTTAGTACCATCTTGTTTTGAAGTCTCATCTAGCTTTTGTTCTTCTGTCTCCAATGGTCTAAACAGGTTGTATCTTATTGGATTTTATTATGTACGATAGTATAAGCAAAAACCTTTTAAAGACAAGGAGATTATACAGAAACCATTATTCATTTTCTGTTAGTCGATTCTAAATACTCTATAATGCTGTCATTCTCTTAAATGGTTTTACATTGTTTTGATATACTTAATGCTACAGTATATGAAGTTGTACTCAAGGACTTCAAGGAAAGAGTCAATATGGTAACTACTTTTGGGTCGGAATTATCTGGTGGTGAAACACTATTCTGCTTAAATGGTTATGTTTTGATCTGCCCTGTTTCGCTGTTATGCCCTCTTTTTTTCTCAATTTCCACTCCATTATTTACTTTTTCATTTTTATCCGTTTAATTAAAGGGAAAAAAAATAGCAGGATATAATATAGTAACCCACTTTGACTTTCTATTATCTCGATTTGAAGACCTGTATTACTCTCACCATCTTGTTTTTGACTGAGGTTCCTCTATTCTGTTTTACTGGATAGTATCAGGTTCGAAAGTTTAGGCATTAGCTGAGAAGATAATGAGATTCATTATAACGCCCATTCTCGTTGACTTTTATCTACTTTTGAAGACCTACAATGTCTCCAATGTTTTGGTTTTGTCGGTTTTGTTCTTTACTGTTTTGTTCAACTGTATTACAACTAATGATATAGGCAATTCTATTAGAGATAGCGGGAGGCATTATGGTAACCATTGTTGATCACCTTGTATTATGTTTTTATATTATCTATTATGTCCACCCTTTTGACTTGACCGATTCTGTTCTGTTATGTCACATTTGGTTTTACTCTCTTCCAAAAAAGCAATAAGAACCGTGGGAGCAATGAAACCCAAAATGTGTAATAGTCATTGTACAAAGAGAGGAAAAGAAAGTGCTCTAAACTATATAACTGCATGTATATTTAAGTGTATAAGATAGAAAATGATATCACAGAGTTTTATTGGATCATTGAACAGAACTGTTTGCAGTATCATTGTTGGAATGTCCACTCTACAAGCTTTAATTTTGTGACTTGAACAATTATTTCTAAGATGGCAATATGTAATCCATCAACTAGTGATTTCCTACTGTGCATTTTTTTCTTCTGTAAATCTGTATAACTTGTACCCCTTCACTGTTTTTTTTTCTCGTTAAATAAAAAATTAAAAAAATTAAAAAATAAAAAAAGAAAATGAATATATAAAAAGACAAACAAAAATATGAACTAGATTATCACATTTGTGCAGGAAATTAGGATGAGCTTTACAAAGTTATTGGAATGTTTTAAGACTTCAAATTTCTAAGATATTTAAGCACATAAAACAAAAATCAACCTAACTCCAGGAGAAACAAAACACTGCACCAAATACAGTAACTACACTACATTATTTGATTCAACAAGGTTTTTATTTTTTTTCCTTTCCTTTTTTTTAAAAGGAAAGGTCTCACTATGCAGTTCAGATAGGCCGTAAACTCACTTTGTAGCCCAGGTTGGCCTTTAATTTGCAGATATTCTCCTGCCTCAGCCTTCCTAGTGCTGGGATTATAGGCATGTGCCTTCACGCCCAGCTTGTTTTACATTTTTATAGCCAACATTGTATTAGCAGGCTAGTGGAAAGGAAGAGGTCATTGTAAAGAGCCAAATTCCTCAAGAGAAGTCAGTATTAAACATCTAATATGGTAGGCCAAGACAAAGGTGCATATTCTTACTTTTTTCAAATTTCAAAAGTAAAATTCAGAATCCATATTATCTCTTTTAAAATTTTAAACCTGTTATTACAACTTGACATCTTCATCTACAAATTTTAATGATAAAAACTGAGTCATGTTTTCTAAAAGAAAAACACAGACATAATGGCAAGAGTATTTTTAAAACATGGTTATCAGATTCGTAAATTATCTACTATTACCACTTCCTATACCTACAAATCCTCATGTGTATATAAAAAGGAGAAATAACTGCAATCGTTGGCAGACAGGTGACAATGGGAAAAAACATGAAAAAACAACTTTATCATGTAACCATATGTGCTGGACTGGTTCAGTGTGGCACTGCTTAAGGACCTGAGTTTAATCACCAACCCAGCTACGAAAAAAAAAAAACAAACAAAAGAAACAAACAAAACAGTACGTATTACTGTGTCTTTTGTCAGACAAAAACTATAACACTAGTAACCAATTAAACCCCAATGTAATTACACAGATAAACCCTAGTTATTTTCAAACTAGGAATCTCCAGTGGAAGTCATAAACAGAGTATAAAATTTTAATCGAAGTTTGAATGATGACTCCCACTCTTTGTCAGTATCAAATATGGTGACTGTGGTGGGCACTGGAAGCTCCCTAACCAGTCCACCTGTAGAGGTTTCAACAAATGACCACAAACCCTGACACACCTCCTCTTTCTACAAAGCATAGGGTCTGTGTTCCCACCTGTGAACTTCGGTGGCTTCAGAGAAGGCCTCAAGGAACAGAATGTTGCAGAAGGGACCCTACGTAAGTTCCCTGAGCTCCAGATGCCTTTGTGTAGTAAGTCTAGCTGCTCAAAGGCCTGTTCACGAAAGATGAGAGAAACCCAAGGAAGCCCAGTTATTTAAGACCCTACGACCCGTTCCAGCACAGGACCTAGACACTCAGGTCTGCTGAGCCACCTCACCAACTCTGAAATGCCTACCTGGCTTTTTGTTGCATGAGAACAATTAACCTGCTACTGAATGAATTTTACTTACAAATGGATGTATCAGTTACTGACACAAAAATTTAAAAGCAACAAGAACACTGCTTTCTGTTAAAAGGAAGAATGAAAAAAATTCATTAAGAATACTGATGAAGGGGCTGGGGATTTAGCTCAGTGGTACAAGCGCCTGCCTGGCAAGCATAAAATCGTCAGTTCAATTCCTGGTACCAAAAAATAGCCCCCCCCCCCAAAAAAAAAAAAAAAAAAACCAAAATACTGATGAAGATACCACATCAGCAATGTTCCTAAAACAGGACACAGCACTGTTACATTGCCAAATATACTTCTGCTATCCCTTTTCTTTTCCAGACATGTAGCTCCTAGAATGTGTGTCTTCTGTACATTAAGAATACGACTGTACCTAATAAAACCTTTCTGTGCCTCTCAAAACAAAAATGATAGCCAGGCACGGTGGCTCACGCCTGTAATCCCAGCACTTGGGAGGCTGAGGCAGGAGGATCATTGCGAGTTAGAGACCAGCCTGGGCTACAAAGTGAGCTCAAGGCCAGCCTGAACTGCATAGAAAGACCCTCTCTACAAAGAGAAAAAAAAAGGAAACTGATGGTCACCAGAAAACCCAAGGCAGAACTCAAGAGCTTGAACTTTCGACCTCACCTCATGCCTATTGTACAAAGAATACCATAATACTATAGAAATTATTGTAAATCACGTAAAAAAGACTTTGAAACATTAAAAACGTTGCCAGCAGAATTCTCAAGTTCATTTATTAAAGAATCTTAATATTTTATCAGACATTTTTCAAAGTTCAGATGCACATGTGAAATAACTGATTTTACTGTAGTCCTCCTAAGACAGGTATTTACAATTTTGTTGCTAAATCTACTAGATATCTATTACTTCTCAGGTTATATAGAAAAAAATTCAGTGTAATCTCTCCATTTCAAGAAACTAAAGCTGTTGTTTCAAACATCTTACGTGCATAACAGACTATAAATCACAAAGCTTCAAGAACAGCAGATCCCTAGAAACCTGTAAACATACTCCTCAACTTTACACTTGTTTTACAGAGTTTACTGTAATTGCTGGGGGTGGGTACACACCCTGTCTGTTCCAGCTACCTGAGAAGCTAAGATGCAGAAGGATTCCAACGGCAGCCTAGGTAACTTGGAAAAACCCTGTTACAAAAATTAAAAAGGCCTATGGATGTAACTCAATGCAAAGGTCCTGAGTTTGATCCCAGTAGGGAAAAAGCTTATTCCACTAAAGCGTGTGCTGACCCGCACTGCTTACCTGCATCAGCTCGGGACCGCTGGCCAGGTGACTTTCCGAATGGGGTCTTCATTCATCTGTATTTATGTGAGCAGCAGAGCTGCTGGACTAGGGTGAAAATTCAGTATTCTCCAATTCGACACTCTCCACAGAACGTCAGTGTTCTCGTTAATCCACCATCCAAATGTCTCTTTTACAAGCTCAGCAAAACCATGTGGAACCACAAGCACTCTGTAAAATAGTGAAATAGTTCATTGCTAGAGCATCCAAATAACAAAATGCCTTTCAGTACACCACTGACTAGAACTTAAAACACAAATCTTAGCTAAAATGCTAAAAAGGGAAATGCTAAAAGGGAAAAAAAAAGAGATGGCATGTCAGACCATAAAGAAGCCTGGGCAGGGGGCATCACACTGCCCAGTCTGAAGTTATACCATAAAGCTACCATGATGAAAACTGCATGGTAGTGACAAAAAAACCAGACCCATCAATCAGTGTAATAGAAGGGACGAAGCAGAAACACTCCAAAGCACACTCAGCCACACTGTTTTTAATAAAGGGGCCAAACACCTGCACTGGAAAATAGCCTCTTTAACAAACAGCACTGGGAAAACTGGCTTTCCACATGTACCACGTGCAAAAGCTTAAACCTAGACCCATATCTATGTATGTACTACACTAAAGTGGATCAAAGATCTAAAAACAAAAACTAAATCTGCTGGAAGACAGAATGGATAAGACACAGAGGCAGGCAAAGACTTTATGAATAAAAACCTCATCACACAGAATTATTATAAAGAATCAACAACTGGAATCGTGTCGTCTTAAAAAGCTTTTTACACGGCAAAAGAAACCAACAAGAGTTAACCGATCATCCCTAATATGGGAAAAAGTTTTTACCAGCTACTCCTCAAAGGACTAACATCTATTAAAGAACTCAAAAAAAAAAAAAAAAAAAAAAAAAAAAAAAAAAAAAAATCAGACCCCCAAACTTAAAGGCCCAGTCCAAAAATGGGCACCTGAAATGAATAGACATTTCTCAGATCAAGTACAAACAGCAAATAAATATATGAAAATACATTTAATATCACTGATCATTTCAGAAATACAAATTAAAACAACAGAGATTTCATCTCACTCTAAAACCACCATACCACAGTGATATATGCACGCTCATGTTTACAGCAGCACAGTTCATAACAGCTGAAGCTTGGAAACATCCTGCATGCCCGCCACATGATGAATGCATAAAGAAAATGCGGTCTTTATGTACAAGGCAGTATTGCTTTATCATAAAGAAGGATACACTTGAGGCATCTGTATGAAAATGGATGCACCTCAAGACTATAATCTTAAGTGAAATAAACCAAACACACACGTTTAAAAGCTGCATTGCTTTTCTAGTGTGAGAAACTGAAGGGGTAAATAAGGGGCTTAGTGGAGGATAGACATGGGGAAGCAGGAAGAAAACTGGAAGGGGAATGAGGGAGGGAGGGAGGAAAAAGAATGTAAGGGGAAAAATGGAAACAAGGCTTGTGTAAATGGAGGGGAGGGAAGGGTTGAAGAGAAGGAAGTGAACAGGTAAAAAAGAATTAAGATATATTACGTATAGGAACAAATTTCCTATGATGAAGGCACTCAATATGTATGACAAGTGTGTACTAATAAAGAGGGGAAAGAAAAAAAGCAGAAGCCCAGGACTGCACGTTCCAAATGTAAATACTCTTATTCTAATGTATTTGCTACTAGAAATCAAAAAAGGGCAGGTGAAGGGATTTCAGAAAAGTTAGTTGGCTGGGGATAAAAGCTCTGTAGCACAGCGCCTGCTTGGCAAGCACAACGTCCTAAGTTCAACTTCCAGTACAAAAAGAAAAAAGAAGGTTTAGTTAAGACTGGTAAGATCCATCTTGGTGGGACACAAAGAACCAGAACATGGGATGGGTAGCAAAGGCTCATGGTCACTGCAACACAGCTGGGTAGCACAGCTGGGCAGAAGATGAGTGGCCTGCAGCCAGGGATTTAGCTCAGTGGCATAAGCGCCTGCCTGGCAAACTCAAGGTTTTGGGTTTGATACCTGGTCTCCCCACCACCACTTAAAAAACAGTGAGTGGCCAGCAGTCCTGAGCAGGAGAAATAATCATGCCCAATAACTCTGCTAGTCTGTTTCTGCTTCCAAAAATTAGTCTAATAACTTTGGAAGAATTCAAACTTCCTCATCCACATAGATATTCAGTCATACTGTGCAAACAGCTTTGTCATTGAAATCAAATTTGATTCCAGGAATTTATAGTCCACAGAGTGAAACATTTTCATACATTTTCTCATAAAACATGAAAAAATCCTCTACAAATTTCTCTGATGACATTTAGCTCTCCTAAATTAACCTTTGTAACTTATGTTCATTGTTCACAGATTAAAAATTTCAAAAATGCTTAATTATCTAGTTACTAAAATATAACAAAATTATTAAAATAACTAAGATATTTCATAAATGTGCCTGTGATCCCAGTGACTTGGGAGTTGAGGAGACAGGATCACCTGGAGTTGGAGGCCAGCTAAGCCAACACAGTAAAATCCTAACCATCAACATCAAAAAAATTAACTATACAAACAAGTCAAAGAACACAGATTAAAATTCAATGGTTTTTGGCTGCAGAAGGTGGCAGGGCTGCTCGAGCCTGAGGCCAGCCTGGGTTACACTGTGAGCTCAAGGCCAGCCTAAACTACATAGTGAGATGCTGTCACCCCCCAAAGGCAATGATTTTATAATTAGTTCATCCAACAAGTATTCACTAAGTGCTTACTTTTGGAAGTTCAGAATGCAGGACAGAAAATAAACAAGTCAGTCATCTATATAACATGTCTATTGGCAATAAGTAGCATACTGCAGAAAGCACAAGGACCCATTCTGAGGCTAAGGCTCCCTGCAAGGTCTCCAGTGTCAGGCAGTCTCACCAAGAGCTCTACTGTCCTATCAGCCAGACCAGGCAGAGGAAGGCCTCCCCTCACTCACTGACCTCACTCCACAGCAGAACCTGCACTCCCTTGGCTAAGCTCTCTCCCCACTAACAGCTCCCTCCACAGCTGAGGCCTCCATGCCTCACTGCCATCCTCACTCAGCTTCTCCATCACTGAACCTCCCCAACCACGCCCTGTACCAGGACTAACAGCTATCTCTTTCCCACAGTCTTCTAATCTTCCAGTCATCTGCACACATTTACTGGTTTACTTCCTTTCCCAAGATAACCATCAGTACTCTTGCCAACCCCAACAAATGTACATCCAATCTTTTCAACTCCTGTTCCTGGGCTCTTAGACATCCTTGCCTTAAACTACTGTATCAGTCAGGGTTTACTACAGAAACAGATAAAACACAAGATACACAACTACTTCGAAGATGACAAGATGTAATATATCAACTGGTGCGGAGTTCTTCATTTAAAAAAAATTCTTTATCATTTCTACCCTTTTTTCTGTTTTGCTCTTTAAAAAATGTTGAAAAAAAAAGAAATTACAAGATTGGCTTACAATGGTCAGCCACAAAGTCGGGCGAGGGAGCGTGCAGAGTGGGTCTGCACACTAGAAGTTGAATGGTCCAGCCCAAGGGCTGGAGCTCACTGCAGTGTCCTGTGCAAGTCTGTGTCTCCGTGTCAGGCGGCCGAAGGGTCTGTGACGGAACACTGAAGAGTCCCTGGCAGAAGCCCAACAGTCCTGGAGACCACTTCCACGATGAAGGCCAACAGGGAGCTCCTCCAAGGCATCGGTCTTCTTCATTTGCCCTTCACTGCACGTAGGCCACCCTGGGGGTGGGGTGTGGCACTCCTGCCCTCCTCTTGCACAGGTTGAGGGTGTTTACAAAGTGAGGACCCTGGCCCCTGCTGAGTCACTTCCTTAACCTTCTAAACTTCTCAAGTTGACACAAGGAACAACATCTTAGAACAGTAACTACTTGTCCTCTACACCCCAGGCTGGAGAGCTGCTGAGTCACTTAGTGAAGCTCCCAGACTTCTCAAGCTAACACAGTGTATCAACCACAACAACTACCTAGGGTAGTTGAGCCACCTAATTTTCCAGTAAGGTCTAGACCTTTTAGTCACCTACAGAACCTATTTTAAGCATCTCTCTTGCTTAAAACCACAATCCCCCATTTCAGAGTTTTCTTTTGCAAGACAGAGTCTTGGGTAGTTCAGACTGACCTTGAATTCACTATATGTAGCCCAGGCTGACCTTGATCCTGGGTTGCTCCTCCTGCCTCAGCCTCCCAAATGCTGAGGTTACAAGCACACACTACTCGACCCAGCTCTTCCTCTCCCTCTCCCCCATCCTATTTTCTTCCTATTTCACAACAACTATTACACATTTTGGTCCTTATTTACACTTTCAGTTTCTCATACCAGAGAAACAATGCAGTGTTTACTCAGGTGTGTCCAGTTTATTTCACTTAAGAATGTCCTCAAGGTGCATTCGTTTTTGCTAACAAACTTAGGAAGTAGTTAAAGCGAAAGTTGGTAGAAGAAAACAAGCTGCCATGGCACTTTTTTGGTGGGGGAGTTTTGAGATAAGATCTCCCTGTGTATTTCAGGCTTGTCTCAAACTTGCAGTGAATCTCCTGCCTCAGCCTTCCAGCCTGGGATTATAGGCCTATACCACCACACCTAATTAACTTGTTCTATTTAACTAGTTAATTCAGTAAATACGAATAATAAGGGAAATTTTAAAAAGATTTTAAATGCTAACAACAAAATTTCCTTGTTTCTACAAGTGATACCAGTTTTGTTTTTTTTTTTTCTCAACTGTTATAAGAAACGGTGTCCTGAGGAGCTTAAGCACAAGGCTATGAAAAAGAAGGACCTGGGATTGGAGGGTGTATAGCTCAATGGCAGAGGTCCTGGGTTCAGGACAGAAAGGCTGGAAAAGGGAGAGACACCAACCACCTGCATTCAGTAATGCAAAACCAACGTGAGGGGCTGCTATAGAACAGGTTATCTGCTTATGAGTCAGGGGAAACCTCTCCTTTACAACGGAAAGGCTGGCCCTTCATTACCAGGAGGTTAAACAACTCAGCACCCTGAACAGGGAAAGAAACTCACTTTATGTAGGAGACCATTTGGATGGCTCTCCCTAAATGCACAGCAAGCACCTTTGCATTAGGTAAATGGGTCCTGTCTCCATGTACTGATGTGTACAGAGCTGGTTAAGCTGTTTCTTTCTCCTTTCAACTGGCTCTAAGCAATGCAAACAGGGCTGGCTGAGGTGCTGATGTGCAATCTTTGAAGCTGGTGGACAGTTTCCTGTTTCCTCCCCTCTTTTCCTCCCCTCCCTATAAACTGTTGAGCCCAGTGGATGGCAGAGCCCCATAGCTCCAGGAAAGTCAACTGGATTTGAGCCTCAACATGAGAGGCTATTATGACTTCCCAGGGCACAAAAGCTTACCTATCAGAAACTGCAGCAACAGCCCCCTAAACATTTAAATGCCACCTCAACCGAGTTATGCAGGTTAGTCTTTCTGGACTCCTAGCCAGACTTAGCTCAGACTCATGTAATTCCCACCATTCTCACAGCCACTGCCTTTTTCATGAGTTAATAAATTCTGGGTGAGGCCCTAGATCAAGCAAGGCCTTTGTCCTGTGAATCCTCACTAGGGCCCCTTGGCTGCCTGTAGCTATGAGTATGTCTTAGTGTCTTTACTCTTGCCCTGGACTGCACTGGAGTTGATAAACTGGTATTAACTTGTCGGGATTCCAATAATGTTTCAATGAGATTACAAATATAAACGTCCTAAACTGTGAGGAAGGACGGGAAAAGAAATTTCAATATTGGGATTACAATAATTTTATCCACTTCCTGATGTGACACAAAGCACCTTGTCATTTACAAAATACTGTCAGAAACATTTCACTTAAACTTTAGTCAAGAGAGACCTAAGCAAAGGGTGGGGCAATTTTTTAATGGCACCTCGATGGCAGTAGGCAGCTTCAAGATGGAGCTAAACATCTCCTTCCCAGGTATTGGCGGCCAGAAGCTCACTTAGGTGGACAATGCATACAACTCTGTACCTTCTATGAGAAGCATGCGGCCACAGAAGGTGCAGGTAACACTCCAGGTGAGAAACAGGAGGGTTACATGGTCTCAAACGTGGTGGAAACAACAAACAAGGTCTCCCCATGAAACGGTGTGTTGGCCAGTGGCTGAGTGTGCCTGTTACTCAGTAAAGGGCACTCTTGTTATAGATCAAGAAGAATCAGGGAGAGCACAAATCTGCTCCAGGTTGCAGAGTAGATACCGATTTGAGGGCTTAGTTACTGTTTTTTAAAAAAAAAGGAAAGAAGGGTACTTTGGGATTGCCTGACACTGCTGTTCCTTGCCACCAAAAGAGTTAGCAAAGGAGATACACTCATAAACTGTCACAAAGGCCCTCAAACAAAGAAGACAACCCAGGGCCAATGCACCCAAGATCCATCACACTGTTACTTCACATGTCCTTCAACACAAACACCGCCATATTGCTCTGACGAAACAGGGTACTAAAAAAATCAAAAGAAAGAATGCTTAAGTAACAAGCAAGATGGGACCTAAAAATAACAGAATGTTTTTAATTAAGCCTTTGGACCTAAATTTATCAACCATACTCTTCAAAAAGTCCATGTCACAAGAAGAGATAAACATATGTTCTAGATTACAAGAAAGAGGCTAAAGAACCCTAATTAAACATGGCAAGGAACCCCTAAGAGGTGCTGTAGGGGAGGGTCAGTTAAGACAACTGAGGACCAGGGTTTAGCTCAGTGGCACAAGTGCCTGCCTGCCAAGTGTGAGGTCTTTAAATCAATCCCTAGTACAAAAAAAAAAAAAGACAACTGAGGGAACTTAAATATGGACTAAATACTATATACTATGGAATTATCATTAAACTTTAAAGGCAAACGCTACCAGCTGCACATGAGAATATACTTACTCTCACACTGAAACATTTGTAGAGGTGGACTCATGATTATCTACAAGTGACTGTCAAATGACTCAAGGGAAGAAAATGATACATGCACAATAAAATACATGAATAAAAAGAATTATGGCAAAATATGGTCATCTACATGAAGAGCATAATAATATTCACTAATACTATCCTTTAAAATGATGCTACAGTCCACGAAGTTTCATAATAAAAAAAACTGTGAATCTCAGTATGCTGTGTGGCTGAGATAGAATCTCAAGCCCAGCCTAGGCCAACTCTGGGACTTAGTGTGACCTTGTCTCAAAAAGAAAAAAAAAAGGCAAAGCATAATGATACAGCTGAGTGCAAAGGCCCTGGGCTCCTCCCTAATGTCCTACCCTGGAGGAAAAAAAAGACTGGGGAGTGAGGCATAACAGCATATACCTGTAATCTCAGCGACCTGGGAGAACGAGGCAGAAGGACCATAAATTCAAGTCTGGTCTGGGCAATTTAGCAAGAGCTTATCTCAAAATAAAAGTAAAAAGGCCTGAGAGTCAGGCATGGTAGTGCAGGCCATAACTCCAGCACTCTGGGAGGCTGAGGCAATAGGGTCACAAATTCAATTCCAGCCTGAGCAGTTTAGCAAGATCCTGTCTTAAAATTTAAAAGGCACCAAGAGGGGATTTAGCTAGTGGCATAAGCGCTTGTCTGGCAAGCACAAGGTCATGAGTTCAATCCCTGGTACCACAAATAAATAAATAAAAATTAAAAGGCCAAACGATATGGCTTGGTGTGAACGCCATGAGTTCAATCCCCAATACAGCAGTGAATGAATGAATGAGGCTGAGGCTACGGTTCCATGGGAGAGTTAATTCTAGGTTCGACCCTCAGGCTGGCTTCCTTTCCCCAAAAAACAATATTCTCAAAGGCAATCACCAAATGCTCAAATTCTTACCATAAAAATGTTTATTGAACATTACACTGTTTCAAGTGCTTCCAGTGTACCAATTCATATCCTCCTCACAACCACCATGAGGAAGGCATGTACTATTAACATGTCATTTTGGAAATTAAAACAGCAGCAGTACAGAATTACAGTAACTTGGTCAAGATCACACAAGCTATTATGTAGCATCACTGAAATAAACTTCCTGTTTTAAAAATTGTGCCTAAAAGGATAGGGTAGCACAAAAATTAATGACAAGGTACTGTCTCCAAAATGTGACCTGTGACTTACTATCTTTCACATCAGCAAACTGGAGCAATGGGAACATTATAGACAAGTGTGTTTGTAGTGTAGGACTCGTCTAATTGCCCAGTTAGGGTTGCCAAAAGACTGACTTCACTTCCAACACTAGGTACAATCTGGTGGGGTTTCACATCTTAAGTCAGAAAAGGATAGCAATCAAAGGGATGCACCACACAAGATCCATGACACTGGGCCAGATCACCTTTCTTGCTCATCTGCATGACTGCATCTTGCCGAGTAGGGAAAGCCAGGAAAGCTCTCTGGGCCTGTATGTCCAGAGTTTGTATTGGTGATTTCATTGCATCCACAGTGATTTACTGGTCGGAGCTTGGCCTCAGTCTCTAGCACCTCTCCCTAGACACTGGGCCATTGTCAAGGCCTCGGAGCTCCAACTTTCTGATCTCATGGCTTGCCTCTCAAGAGTTCCTCTACTACCAACTGAGGGTTTACCCTGTGTCAAAGAAAAGACTTCTCAGAAAGTCTAAAAAGACACAGAGACATGGATGTGGTGGCACAAGTCTGTAACCCCAGCACTTAGGAGACTCAGACACGAGGATCACTGTGAGCTAATGGTCAGCCTGGCTAGAGTAAGTTCACAGCCAGCCTGAAGTACACATTGAGACCTTGTCTCAAAAAACAAAAATAAATGAATAAATAAGTAAATAAATAAGGGAAGGAAGAAAGGAAACGGAGGTACTATCTAAGAGTTAGAAAAAACGAGGGCTGGGGATTTAGCTCAGCAGCGTAAGTGCCTGCCTTACAAGCAGGCAGTCGTGAGTTTAATCCCTGGTACCGATAAAAACGAAAAAGAAAAAGTTAGAAAAAACACAAGCCAAATTCTTTGCTTTACAACAGTAACTTTTCTTTTACCATGGTGGCTAAGGACTAAAACACACAATGCCTTATTTTCCAAATACACATCTGAAGCTTTTCGTTTAAATGTGAATCAACATGTCTTGTTTTTATATTAACAAAGTAGCTACGGTACATCACACAACATAGTACTTTATTACTTTAATTATAAATGGTTTCCCCTGTAAGCCTGTATATTGTACTCAGAAACATCCTGAACAGGCATCACTGGGTTTTCTCGGATTGACAAAAGGCCCATCGCATAACCACCTGAGCCTAAAACCAGGAACAAGCAATAGAATAGTCCTTGGCCTTCAACAGGCTTGCAAGGGTGATATGCAGGTATCAGCGTAAAGAATAGCCAACTCCTGGTAATAACAGGCTGGGAGTTTAGCACATGCACCTGATGCCTACACAAATAAAACTTAAATAGATCCCCTAGGAAAAACTATCAGGAATCAAGAGTTTCTCAGGGAAATACTGTAGCTAATCTCAGGTCTGGGAAGGAAATATACAAGGAACTGGCAACATCCTGTCATTGAAAAGGAAGCCATCAAAAACTGGTAGAGTTGTGTCAAGAGCCAAAGAGGATTCTTTTGCATAACTTTCATGTGCCAATGAAAACTTCATGATAAGTTGAACATACATGAAATATGTTTGGGACATCAAAGAACTTGAAAGTACACAGCACTGCAGAGGCAGAACCTAGGGAGAAACCATGCAGTTGGAACCATTTTTATCCTGAGAGTTAACTGCCACACGGCCATGGGCAGGTGCAAAGCCAATAGTTCAGTGTGGGTAGCTGACAAAGACTGGTAAACCAAAAAGGCTACCAAGACATGGGTGTGGGGTACAGGGGTGCATGGGTGGGTGCTGGTTAACCCACTTCACTCTGCTAGGATCCGCCTGCTGCACTTAGTAGCCAAGGGAAGTGGGGAATATCTAGGCTCTTTAAGAAGCATAGCACAATCTCAACTCACCTTTATCCCGGCAACTGAACTAGGAAGATCCCAGATTGCCCAATCCTTCAGGTGCCTGGCAGAAGCAAGCACAAGGATGGGAATATCATTCTAGGCCCCAAATTATTCAGGCAACATCTAAAATGTAATCAACTAGTTGTGCACACAAATGAAGTCCACAAACGAAAGAGAAAAAAAGAAAAAGAAAGCCCAGTAGAAACAATAAATAAGAAACAACAATAAATCATAAGTAACAACAAAAACCTTGAGCTCTCAGGATTAGAGCTGCAAAATCATACTTTAAGCTGGGAAAACAGTGAATACATTTTATATATACATGGAGTTTCCTAGGTAGTGGTAGCCAAGTGCTAGCCAAGTGGTCTACCACTGAGTTACACTCTCAGTTCCAATAAATACAATTATTAAATGAAACGTGCAACAGCTGGAAGTGGTGGCCCAACCCACTAGCAGCCAAAAGTGTGCAGTGCTCAGAAGGGAACTGGGATGCAAGGCCTCTGTCACACAGCATCTGAAGGAATGGTGTACAAGTGGAAATTGGCCTCAACCATGCCTGTCACTGCCCTCAATGCCACTGGAAATGTCCACTCGCCTTCTGCCAGCAGGGCTACCTCCTCCCAGTACCACCAGCTACCAAGTGGAACTGGGCAGGAACTGGAACAGCCAGGTGCTCGGGTACAAATTTGTAAAGCTGCTGTCAACCAGCAAGGAACTGGGGAAGGAGGTCAGACCCTATATAGCATGCAAGGAGAGTGACACGGGAGAGGTGAAAGTGAGGCCTCATCCGGCGCGTGGGCTGCTCTGGGAGTGCCCAGCAAAGAGGCGCACAGGAGGAGAGGCACAATCACAAACTGTCCAGAGAAACTGGTTTTCCAAGTGTTACCAGCTTAGTTCCCCCCACCCCCTGCCGAGGCTGCTACGCTCTGCACCTACAGTCTCAAAGAATGAGAAATGATTTCACAGGGAATTTAGGTCTGCATCTTACGTAGAAGGACAACCCCAGGTTTGGTTTTGTTTAAGCACAGATTTTAAAGGGGCATGTGACATAATTTTACAGCAAACTGTTATTTGCACTCAAGATCCCAGTGCCTTTCTTTAATCATCTCTCCTGAATAATATTTACACCTTCCCAATTGTTTCTTGCTCCTTGTGGTAAACCCTGCCATCCTGAGGACTCAGTTCTGCGCATCCAGTAGTGTGCCTGACCTAGCAGTGGTTCCGCTGCTGCATGATTTTTAGTGCTTTAAAGTCAGTTCTAAAAATGCAAAGTCCTAAACACAGAAGAAAGAGAACCCACTTGGCCTAAGAAGGACTCTGGGCAGTTTCATAGCAAGACTATAGATTTTGGTTCTGTGTTTATTGTAAGGTGACCAAGACATCCAGAAGACAATGACTACAACTGTTTGTATCTTTGTATTTATTACCTAATGTAATAAAGCTTATTTTTCATTAATAACAAACGAAATAGCTATAATTACTAAGTTCAAAGAGATAAAAGATTGAACACTGGTAGAAAACTTAAAAAACTACATATTAGTGAAGTGTCAAAAATACAATAATTTAATAGCAATAACAGCAGATTAATCCAATGAGTGAACAAAGAAAGGTGAGATCAAAACATCCAGAATGAAGGATGTAATAAGAGATTGACAAGGTCCAACATATATTTAAATGAACCCACAGAATAGGGAGAGCCAGGAGAAATACTTGAAATGATGTCTTGAACCCCTCTGAAAGTAATAAAGGTCCCCCATGGATTCACTGAGAATTCCAAGCACAATTTATTTTGGTACTGGGGATCAAACTTAAGATTGCACATTTGCAAGGCAGGCACTTAATGCTGCTGAGCTAAATCCCCAGGACCAAGCACAATTTAAAGCGGGAGCGCGCGTGCGCGCGCGCACACACACACACACACACACACACCACTATCAAAGACAACTTCTTCCAACACCTTGGGAAAAAACGTAACCCAGCATTCTATGTGTATCAAAAATACCTTTGTGGTAGATTAACTAATGGCCAACTTGTAACACCCAGCTGACCTGAATCATGGGTACAGCATGGGTATGGCAGGCCGACCTGAGAACTGTGACCAACAGCGTAACATGAGGGGCAGAATTCTTGCCTACCATGTGTGAGCCTTGGGTTTGGAGTGTGCAGGTGGTTCAACTTCAGGCAGGAAACATAAAGAGCATCTGTTCATCAGACAGAAACAAAATGTTCCAAGCATACAACGTAAGTTATAACAAGGTATGAGGAAGAATAAAAAGGGTAAATCTTGTGAGCAAACCTAAATAGTTGTACAAATTTGTCTTAAGACAAAATACAGAAATAAAACAGCAAAATAACAGCACACTTTAAGAATGAGGTAAATGCAGTGTAGATGTCTAGGATGAATGGGAAAGTACCATTTAATATTACCTGTTGATAAATCAGGGATAAACGTTTCAAGTTAACAGAAGGAAAAAAATTAAGTGAAAAGTATCCAAAAGAAGGCAATAAAGGACAGGAAAAAGCATGTAAGACAAGTATAGTAAGTAAAAAACATTTATTAACAGGTTTAAATTAAACTATGTCAGTTATTTTGTTAACAGCCACCCCCAAAAAAGGAGAGAAAAAGAACTATCAACATGGTTTTTGGTATCCTTTTACTGTTGACAAGAGAATCATCTAACCACATGCATATATCCTGAAAATAAAGTTTAAAAAAAAAAAAGAAAAAATGAAATGCCCTGCCCATAATGTTGTAACTTAATATGCAATATTGCAATATCATTAATTATCAATTTGGTAAGCATAACCTCCAATAATATTTTTGCCTTAAAGGACATTTAGTAACAATAAAAGATTGACCTGATGTGGAAGACACATAGCTCAAAATAAATATGCACTTCATAATATAGCCATAGCTGGGCGTGGTGGCTTACACCTGTAATCCTAGCTCTCCGGAGGCTGAGGTGGGAGGATCATTTTGAGTTCGAGATCAGCCTGGGCTACAAAGTGAGCTCAAGGCTAGCCTGAACTGCATAGTGAGACCCCGTCTCAAAAAAGACCAAAAAAAAAAAGAACAGTATAGCCATAAAATACATAAAGCAAGCAGGGTTAAGTGGCACACACCTGTAATCCCAGAAATACTCAGGAGGCTAAGGTCAGAAAACTCTTAAATTGGAGGTCAGACTGGACAATTTAGAGAGACCCTATCTCTAAATAAATAAGTAATAAACAAATTAAAAGGCTGGGGTTACCAGTGGTAGGGGATTAGATCTTCAGGACTACAAAAATAAAATTACCCCAGACCATGCTGATAAAGTATATGTAAAACAAATGAATTTCCTGTTTGAACTTTAGTCCTGTCACCAAGACATCTCATCTAATATATGTACATATTCCAAAATCTGTGGGAGCAACCCACAAACTCCAAAATACTTCTGGGTCCAGATATCACGGGTAAGAGATAATCTGTATTAACACAGCTCTCTCAGTCACCAACAGAATCAGCGAACCACAAGCAAAACAGAAAGGATATTACTGAATTTAACATGAATAATCAGCATGAATTTACAAACATAAGATACAACACACACTGGGCCATAAAGCAAAAAAATTTCACAACCTTTAAATATTTACAGTTGGGCTAGTTGAGAGGTATAGCTCAGTGACTTTACATGCTCCAAACCCTAGGTTCAATCCTTATACCACAGCAGAGCATACACACCTGGATTTGTTTTCTGACAAAGGGGTTGATAGCAAAACAGAGAATACTATGATGCTATAATTATGGCACTTGTCATTATATATGTCAGAATCCATGACACCAAGAGTGAACCCTAATGTAAGCTATGGGTACCACTCTGGAAAAGTTTGTATTAGCAACCAACACATCACAGGCATAATGACCCATTTACACCACTCCTAACTGTATTCAACAGAAAATCATACCAGAAATATGAACATGAATGTTCATAGTAATGCGGCTAACAATGTAACAGACCCCCCCAGCTAGTATATTTCAGTTTCTTAGTTGCCCAGGTAATAGTTCATGGACCTAGTTCCTCTGTTCCAGTTCTGGTTGCTTCTGTCTCTTAGATATAGCTGGTTGCTGTGACACATAGCTGGTCACTATGATGCATACTGTATAAATCAATCCTCAACTGACACATCACTCTGCCACTGTACTTCCTGCTAACTTATTTCATATAAGCTCTGCACCACCAGAGATTGGGGCTTGATATTCTGGGAATGATTCTAGCAGTGTCAGTCAATGTAAATAAATATGCCTCCAAATTCTGGGTGTCATTTCAGTGTTTCTGCTTGCTGTTGCATCTGGTGCATTTGCCAAGAAGACATACCCATGAGATTTCTCAAGTCTCCTCAAGTCTGGAGGATGCCTGCTCCTTGCTTGAGTGGCTCATACTGGATCCCAAAGGCAAAAGAACACAATCTGTCTCTCTGCCTGCTTCTATCAGTCTAGCTCAGCTAGAGCAGAAGGGGAGTGTGATCAATACGCATTAGGACCACCCTGGAGGAAGTGGTTGGAATGTTTAACCTCTGAATGCCTGCTGCATGAACGGAACTCACTGTGTTTTTACAGGCTGCTCTGATTATGCACCAAGACTGGGAAGCACTATTTGTGGTGGCTAATTGGGCCCGCACCTGCAGTTCCCTGGTGATTGACATGTGGCATAACTGAGGCCTCACATCCTCCTTAGCTAAGTTGTGCCTAAGTCCTGTGAAGAGTGCCAGCCACGTAGGCATCTAAATGGTCTCTCTCTGAGGGGCCCTCCTTTAGTCTGTGCACCACCATTCAAGGGTTAGGCTGAGGGTTAGACAGACTGACAGACAGACACTCTCAAAAGCTTCAACCTGGATGACAAAACCCTTTCATCAGTTTGAAGGGTTCAGACTAAGCCAGACCAGGCTCCCTTCTTTCGCTGGGCTACTGGGAGCCCATAGTATCATCATCCAACAGTATGAGTAAACATCATTTCTGTGAACTCAAGGATCCAGATTTTATAGGAGCCAGCAGCTCCAATAAATTTGGAGGTTTTTCAGTGC